TACCGTTGCGACCTTGCTCTATTTTGTGTGTTAAACGGAGAAAGAAAACAAATGACTTGATGTTGCCAAACGACTAAGCACTAACACTTATAATGAGTGAAACTGACATTTCATTCCCGAAGAGAAATTGAAGAGTCGAAGAGAAACCAAAGAGCTGAAGAGAAACCGCCCTCCGAATGGAGAACGCCCAAAGCAGCCGAAGAATGGAAAGTTGGAAGAAGGTCGAATGCGACCCGACGAAAGCCCGTCGAAATGCTCCAAAAACGCCGATGAACAAAAAGGACGTGACCCAAATCTAACATAAAGTGACTTTTTGTCTTTTTTGATGTTCCGAAGGTCTAAATTCAGGTTGGATTCCACGAAAAAATGCATCTTTTAAAATCGCTCCACAGTGATTTAGGCCGGGTCACCTTAATTAATCTTTTTTTTAATATTTATATTGCAGTGAGACCTACTTCCACTTGGACTCCTCTCATTGGACTCCGCACGCAGCTCACCCTGCGGAGTCTTGATGCAATAAATTCTCAAAGAAGTGAGATCAAAGGTCATATCAACAAAGACTAAAAAGCCTGAGTGCTAAGTATGTACAAAATCAAGACTATAGCCCATTGGAGAATGATTCGAAGCCTGTCGAATGAAGAATACTTAAGTAAGAAATCAAGAATATTAAACCAATATAAGGCATCAACCTAACTCTCCGACCCACATCGTTAATCGCCTCACAAGAACTTCCTAGTCTCTTTAAGGGTCCTAAGGTTCTCATCATAACACACCATTAACACTCAAGTTATATCTCCTATCAAGGAGTAGGCTACTTATCGAATTACGGTGGTTCACTCTCTGCCCAACAATCTATTCTCATATTGGTGGCAAGAGCTTCTCACTTAAGGATCGACAGTCAACCGACGAACCAAAGCAGCTAACCCGCTGACCAAGCCCCTCGAGCAAGAATCTGAATGATCGAAAGACAACCAAAGCCGACTTGTTGTCCCAATTCAACAGAGTCGACCAAACGGGTTTTGCCAACCCAATGACTACTTTTCTCAACGGCTGAATGATAGGGCAGTCAAGCTATAAGCTCATTTATTTATTATAAATATTTTAATTTTAAAATAGTGAAATGCTTCTTTTTATGCATAGGTAAGGTGGTATGTAGGCAAAATTTTAAGCTTGGGTGTTAGATATTTAAATAGATTGGAATTGAGTGGCATGTATGTAAAGTTCCCAATAATAACGCATTTGCTATTTAAATTAAAAATGCCTGGATTTAATTTTTACCAAGAACTAGAGGTACGCACCTTATGAGCACTTTTTTATAACAATTTTAAGGAAATATTAAAATATTTTTTTAAAAAAAATTTAATTTAATTATTTATATTAGTAAGTTTAACATTTATATAAATTTAATTAAAATTTAAATGAGCGGCTAATCAATAAATTAAGGCTTTAATGTCAAGCACTGTTTGATAGGTTAAATGAGTTTGAACAGTTAATACAAGAGCTTCAACTTGATTATGGAGCAAAGCATATAATTCAAAGGCGGCAAATGATTAAATTGTATCCTCCTTATTAATAAATTTTCAAATTTTAGGATGGACAATTGCCACCCTAACAGTACATAGGTCCACCTTTGTCTGCATACAAACATATATATATA